ATAACGAGACCTCCTTTCAGCCTAGTCGGACCCAGGTTACCCAAGTGCACCTGTAAAAAGTCAATGACACATCAAACTTTTTCTCAAATTATTTCACAGCGCACGTACTTTTCAAACCCCAGTCCTTTGACACTTTCCATGGCCTTCCTTGCTCGCCGACCCGTTTGACAATGAAAGATGAGGTTTTCGTCCTTGACGTCAGGTTTTCTGACACCGTATTTTTTCTCGAAGTCTGATGGACTCATACCGAAGGCCTCGACAATTTCTGCCACTGAAATTCGCAGATAACAATCACTGTTAAAAATATATGGAGGCGTGAAATCGTTGAAAAACAATACGATTCAGAGATGAATAGGTCCAACATCATTATGGAGCTGTTTCTTTACGAAGAAAAAGAGCTTGCTTTTCATAGCCTCTTGTCTAATTCTTAATCTCTGAAGAGAGAACGGCAATCTTTCTTTAAGTCATAATTTGAATATAAAATTGAAAGTTGAAATGGTAAATTGGCCACCGTTACGATTATAAAAGCTGACGTTTCGAGCGTTAGCCCTTCGTCATTCGCTCCGACGAAGGGCTAACGCTCTAAACGTCAGCTTTTATAATCGTAACGGTGGCCAATTTACCATTTCAACTTCGTTGATATATTCAAATTATTTCGTTACCCCCACCGACGCGGCCCCAAACAGTTTCTTTAGAAACTATCAGCCTTTCTTTAAGTCAGCAGGAAAAATAACACAGTTCGGACGGTACTCTTAGAGAGAAAAAATTGGCACGTTACTTCATTAAACAACTTACATGGAATATTTACAGACTTCGGTATTTTTCCAAGTGAAACAAGTTCGTGAGGTTCTCGTACGTCAAACAGTTGTAAATCGCCATCTATAACCATATCTTTTAAACACTCCAAGCCGACCTGACTTCGATCAGTTTCTTTTCTACAAGACCAAATACGATCTCTTGGCGATGCGTTAGGATGTGAGGAAAGTCCCTGACTCAAAACAGCGCGAGGTAAAACGTTCTGTGAAAATATTGATTTCGTTAATCTCCCAACTGCACGCGATGCCATCTTGAATTGATCTGCTCCTTTTTTCTGGTAACTGCAAAATGTATGCTTTCAAAGTGTCAAACTTTATTTAGAAGATTCCGTGGTTGTGACATCTAGTGAAACGTTTGCATCATTTGTACGTGACGTCACCGGAGACACTTGAATAAGCCACTTCTACGCACCAAAATATACACAACAGCTCCATATTTACTGCTACTTGAAATTCTTCTAAAACAAAAGATATTTAATTTTTCCTTCCCGATAGCCTAACAAAAAAAATATTTTATTTTTTCGAAAACTTTTCAAATTGCATGGTTTTAATCAACGCATCCTTGAAGTAATGCAATCATAAACGTGAGTTATGTCACGACTGTCACATCATCACGTTTCAGTTGGGCAAACGGTGGTGATTTGCAGCACGCATCTTCGGGAATACTGACGCATGTTTGGTTTTTGAAACGGAAATTTATTTTTACATGGTTTGTATTCATAATGAACAAGCACAAGTAAAACTGCTAAATTGTTGAAAATCTGAATTTTAAGGCTATTTATACCATTAAATTCACATTTTCACCATTAAACTAGGGTTGGGGGCATTGGGGCCTCTGGGAAACCGCAAAACCGAAGAAAAAAACCTCCAAAACCGAAAAACTGACGAAAAAAGGCAGCAAAACCGAAAACCCCATGCAAACCTGACAAAACCGCTACATTCTCACCTTTAAAGGGGTCAAAAAGGAAAAACCAAAAACTGCATCGGAGTTTTCATGAAAACCAAAAACCAAATACAAAAACACGTAAAATGTGCAAACCACCCTGAACATCAAAACCGAAAAACCAAACCTTTTTGGCCCAAAAACCAAAAAACCGATCCAAATATCAGTTAAAACCACAAAACCTAAAATCCCAAAGCCCCCCTCAACTAGGAGACAAGGTCATGATAAATTATCTTGTAAAGTGCAGAACAATTTTGGTATACTTTCCCTTTCTCAATTGTATTTTTCTTGGTCACAGCCCCTTTTAATGACAAGAGATATGTAATTTCCTCTGCCTTATTGACCAAAAACAATGGGTAATACAACAACAAAACAGATGATTTTAATCAGAAAAAAATTTTAGAAGTTTTAATTCACTCATGCTAATGCACCACTAATGTCAATCAGGAACCAGTGTTAAATAAATTAAACAAATGGAAATCCTTCTTCTGAGTTCAGCCATTGGATTTTTCTGAGTTATCAACTTGCGATGTCCACTCCATATAACCTCCAGGGTAATGCCTTGCCCTGAGAAGAAAACCAAAAAAACTTTCCAGTCAGATAGATCATCTAAAATGATACATGTAAACCCCTTAAACTCTCTTTAACCTATCTAGAAATCCACATTCTACAAGCAAAAAAAGCATTTAAGAGAAAATAGAGTAAATGTAAAGTTGTGGCATGTATATATCACCCCTGAATCAAAAATGGCAGTCATGATGATAAAGGAAATGATCACCAACTTAAGATGTTCAAGATTATCAGACAAATTCTCCTTGTCAGCATTGTAAGAAATGTGAAGAGAACAGTGTGGAGAATTTAAAACCAATGTTAGGGTATAAAGAGTTTAAACACCCAAGATTTTCATGCTACTCTGTAGAGGATGATCTTACTTTGAGTAGCCAATTTGATGAACTGCATCCATTGCCGCCCTACTCCTTATTCCAGCCAAGCAGTGAAACACAATATTGGCATCATTTTTTTCAGGCTTTTTAACATTGTATTCCTCTTCAAATTCTTCAGGATCCATTGTAAAGGCCTCAGGAACTTTTCTCACTTAAAAAGGCAAGTGCCAAAACAAAGACCATGTCAATATCACTTATACTATGACAAACTAATAATGCAAAAATAACTCCATTGACTTTTCAAAGTTTGTTTTTAACCAATACATTTTTTAAAAAGTATGTGAAGTAAAGGTATGTCAGCTCAAGGTTTCCAAGTTTCAGAGAAGCTAGAGTCCAACTCTGTTAAAATAATGTAGTAAAGCCTTTTAAAACTAACTAAAGTATTTGTCTTAAATAAAGATTTCAGAACTCTTTAAATTCCAGAAACAAACAACTACAAGAAAAGTATACACAAGTGTCCATATCAGTTTCCTATGTCAAGATTTCAGTCTGTTGACATGTTTGGCTCATTTTGTGAAATCACGTACCCTGCATGTGAGTATTAAAAAGAAATGTTAGGAAAGGAAGATAATAACTGTAGTTTGAAGTATAAAATTGGAGTTTTCAATCCACAAGTGTGAGAATCACACCCAGGCATAAGATTTAGCAAGAAACAACCCTGGTATTAGACCATAAGTACCACTGAGTAGCGAGAGGTTGCACATTGAAGTAAGTCCAGTACTCAACAGGGAGGCATAATAGTTTTTTTTTTTCCTTGAGGGTGGCATAATAGTTTATTTGGAAAGATTTCCATAGAACCCCATACTAATAAAAAACAAAGCCGTAGTCCCAAAGGAAATCTGTTGTTTTACATCTGCTTTCCTTTATCCAAGAATTAAATGCATAATGAAGTATGGGGCTATACGGAAATCTTGCTGTTTTTTTTTTCATGAGATCAGTAACAAAAAAATTATTGAACTTAATGGATAATTCAATTAATGACTAATCAGTTACATTTACCTCTTGCCAAGCTACTCTTGTTAGTTATCAGTAATCATAATGAAAACAAAATTCATAATGAAAGATTGCTTGCCACCGCTCAAAGTTCACATGCTGATATTATTTGTGTAACTTTTTAGATTCACTAGCGTATTTTCTCGCAGGGATCCCTCGGTCTCGTTCGTACTCGTCCATTTGAGAGTTTTATTTTCTTTTATTTTCTTCACAGATTATCTAACTCTTATAATTTGAAAACCAATAAAGCTGTTTAAAATAAAAATAAAAATAAAATGAACATACGTGGGATGTTTGTAGCACAAGCAATCTTGCCTGTCTCCATCAGTTCATAGGGTTCTCTGACATCAAACAACTGAATATTATGCGCTGTCAGCATTGCTCTCAGCTCTTTAATGCTTATATCAGTCCAGTGCTCTAAAGTCGTGGTAGAAGTGTTCCTTTTGGCGCACTGTACGTTTACCGGAGGCCTTGTTATTCCAACCAGATCCAGAAATACTCGAGTAGTAGAAATACTACATGTGTTCTTTGGAAGACAACTTCGTACAGTAATCCCGACCTTTCTCGCCAACGCTGTCATTGTAACGATGGACAGATACCAAACAGCTGCTCGTTTATTATGCAAAGGGATGGCCAGCATTACACCATCAGATTAACCGAGAGACCGTTGAAATCAGCTCAAAAGTAGGGCCAGAAAGTTACGAGAAGGCTGACATAGTTGCAGCTCAGCACGTAATGATCTCTGGAAAGACTGATGGAGAAAACCTGGTAACCAGTTATGTGACCGCGATGAGTTCCACTGACTCATGACGTAACAACATTTCGTCGGCCATCTTAAATTTTTTAGTAGCTGACTTTAGACACTCCAACAAGTGGGATTCACTATCTTTCGACATGTGGTATGAATGCTTACCTCCGTTTGTAATTATTGGAGCGTGTATAGCTGTTACTGGCTGGGGAATGAAGATTTGTGATCGACTCTTTCAAGAAGGCAAGGTATTTATAAACGAAAAGCCCTTTGATATTTGAACTCGAATTTGTATGCTGTATGGTTGGCCAGCCTACCTCTGAGTCTGGGATAATCAAAAGACTGATGGAGAACTGCTGAACTGGTCATTTAAAGGATGAATGAAATAACTTTTTGAAATTTTCTTTGCAGCCCAGTCGATACAGTGTGGACAGGTTTGATGAAAGATTGCTCGCTAGAGATGAGAGGATCACTGGCTCAAGATTCAGACAAAAGGTGACAACTTATTTCAACTCACCCCTCCCCCAGCCCATTTTGCTGAGATAGGGAGAAGTGGGGGTTGGGTAGGGCATCCATACCGTCACTATGTTTTACCATAGACTCCCCCATGGACTCCCTCAAGTTCCTTCTTGCAATATCGAAATGTCATACCCAACATGATGATAGTCAAATCTTATAACCGGAGGTAATTTTGGTTTTATCAGTTTCTAATGTAAATTGGCCACTCTATAGAGTTTCAAAGCTGATGTTTCGGGTGGTAGCCCTTCTTCAGAGTGAATGAGGAATGGCTAATGTTTGAAATGTCAGCTTTGAAACTTGTTATGCTGGCCAATTTACATTAACAACTTTGTTCATAAAACTGAAAAAAACCTTGTTATACTCCTCCACTGATGTAGCACCACAGTATCTTTAGAAACTTACCTCCTTTATTAATAACTACAGGTGTTCAGAATAGCCCTTTGTCTATTTGCTCTGACAAAATGCTAACTCTTGAAACATCAGCTTTAGAAACTCTTTAGGGTAGCCAAAGTACATTATCAACTCATATTTGTGCACACTCCTCACAGTAAAGGGCACTACTTGAGCAATAGTGAAAATCAGACCTGAAAAAATTCAGGCCTGTATGGGATTCGAACCACTGACCTCTGCAATACTAGTGTAGCGCTCTACCAATTGAGCTAACAAGCCAACTGGGAGCAGGTCATCAAATTAGTCCGACATAAACCTGTATAAATTCAGTTGATAAAACCAAATTACCTTGAAATACCCCCCACCGATGCAGCACCACTGTTTCTTTAGAAAATTACCCCCTTTAATTGTTAGAGGGTATGGAAAGGTCTCCACACACCCCCATGTCATCAAGCATACAATTCGTTGATAAAGAAAACAGTGTCATAAACAATAGATTAAATGTGGGACCACAGCTTTGTTACAGAATTGTACAATGTGATTTAATTTAATAACTTCTAGAGCGCTCTTTTCATTCAATGATCAACAGCGCCTAACAACTTAGAATACTACAGTAAATTCAAATTTATAAAACTAATACTATTTTAATAAAATTTAATTAATTTATAAAATTTATAAAACAATACTATTTTTAT